CAACTCAAATGATCAAAGGGTTGGAACACTTTCCCTATGAGGAAAGGTTAAAGCACTTGGGGCTCTTTAGCTTGGAGAAATGATGACTGAGTGGTGACGTGATTGAGGTTTAGAAGATTATGCATGGGATAGAGCAGGTAGAGAAAGAGGTACTTTTCTCCCTTTCTCACAATACAAGAACTCGCGGGCACTCAATGAAATTGCTGAGCGGTTGGGTTAGAACAGATAAAAGGAAGTACTTCTTCACCCAAAGAGTGATTAACACGTGGAATTCACTGCCACAGGAAGTGGTGGTGGCTACAAGCATGGATGGCTTCAAAAGGGAATTAGATGAGCATATGGAGCAGAGGTCCATCAGTGGCTATTAGCCACAAGGTATAGAGAAGGACTGTGGGGCAAGTGATGCTCTGTCATCTTGTTGCTTGGGGGGGGTCAACAGTGGGAGGGCTTCTAATGTCCTGGCCCCACTGGTGGACCTCCTGATGGCACCTGGTATTTCTGGCCACTGTGTGACAGAGTGTTGGACTGGATGGGCCTTTGGCCTGATCCAACACTGTCATCTCTTATGTTCTTAGATTCACCAGATGGGCTATGCATCCTTCTTATTTCATTTCTTAATTTGGAATCACCCAGGATTTGGGATATTAGGAAGGTATGTTTTTCTGTACTCTACAGGCAGAAGGGAATCTCACTGCAGCAAAGCACATCCTTCACTTCAAAGAGAGGAAGAAATGTAATTTGGGAAATGTAATCAATTTGGGAACAGATTAACGTACTTGCACTTGAAGGCAGCAGGAAAAGAGGACGATCCCAGATGAGATTGATTGACTCAATCAAGGAAGCCGTGGCCCTCAGTTTGCAAGACCTGATCAAGGCTGTTAATAATAGGACATTTTGGAGGTCATTCATTCATTGGGTCTCCCTTTAGGAGGTCACTGGGTCACCATAAGTCAGAATCAACATGATGGCACTGAACACACACAAACTCACACACATAGCAGTGTCTCAGTTAATTGGAGAACTACAGGATCTGTCCATGATTTAGAAATGACACACTAACACATCCATCTCTGAGCCTGATGCATGAATTTCCTTTACCTATGTTTTCCCAACCTCAGATATGCAGACGATACCATTCTAATGGCAGAAAGTGAAGAGGACCTAATGGGCCTCTTGCTGAGGGTGAAGGAGGAGAGTGCAAAAGTTGGCTTGAAACCCAACATCAAAAAAACTAAGATCATGGCATCCGGCGCCATCACTCCTTGGCAAATAGAAGGGGAAGTCATGGAAGCAGTGACAGACTTCACGTTCCTGGGATCCAAGATCACTGCAGACGGTGACTGCAGCCATGAAATTAAAAGACGCCTGCTCCTTGGGAGGAAAGCTATGGCAAATCTAGACAGTATAAAAAAAGTAGAGACATCACCCTGCCAACAAAAGTCCGTACGGTCAAAGCAATGGTATTCCCAGTAGTAATGTATGGCTGCGACAGTTGGACTATAGGCCGAGCACAGAAGAATAGATTCTTTTGAATTATGGTGCTGGAGAAGACTCTTGAGAGTCCCTTGGACTGCTGGAGATGGAATCAGTCAATCCTAAAAGAAATCAACCCTGGCTGTTCCCTGGAAGGCCAGATACTGAAGCTGAAGCTCAAATACTTTGGCCACCAAATGAGAAAGGAGCACTCACTGGAGAAGACCCTGATGCTGGGAAAGATTGAAGGTAAAAGAAGGGGACGGCAAAGGATGAGATGGTTAGACAGTGTTATCAATGCAACGAACATGAAATTAAGCAAACTCCAGAGCACCACCGAAAACAGGAGGGCTTGGCGTGATGTGGTCCATGGGGTCGCGAAGAGTCGGACTTGACTGTGCGACTGAACAACAACAAAGCTCACAGAGTAGAATTTTTGCTCACAAGACTCCAGAGCTTAAAGGTTGTTGTTAATTTTGAAAGAAGAAGAAAAAGAAGAAGAGATTGGAATAATACCCCGCGATCTGCAGTGGCTCAAGTGGTTAAGATGCTGAACTGCAGGCTGTGGAAGGTCAGTAGTTCAGCAGTTTGAGACCCGAGTTGCCGCATGATGGAGTGAGCTCCCGTCTCTAGTTCCAGCTCCTGCCAACCTAGCAGTTCGAAAGCAAGAAATTGCAAGTAGATAAATAGGTACCACTTTGGTGGGAAGGTAACAGCGTTCCATGTGCCTTGGTGTTTAGTCATGCCGGCCACATGACCACGGAAACGTCTTCAGACAGCGCTGGCTCTTCAGCTTTGAAACAGAGATGAGCACCACAACCCTAGAGTCGGACTCGACTGGCTTTCGAGCAAGGGAACCTTTACCTTTAAAGGTGTCTCAGAGCAGCTTACAAACTCCTTTCCCTTCCCCTCCCCACAACAGACACCCTGTGAGGTAGGTGGGGCTGAGAGAGCTCTTGACAGAAATGGCTCTTATTCAGGAACAGCTCTTATCAGAACTATGGCTTGCCCAAGGTCATCCAGCCAGGTGCAAGTGGAGGAGTGGGGAATCAAACCCAGTTCTCCCAGATTAGAGTCCACGCACTTAACCACTACACCAAATCATGTGTTGATAAAGAGGGACATTATATGTACATTTTAAGACCTTGTCTGAATGGAGAATTCAGCTCTTTTCAAGCTGAGCTTACTACGGAGCAAAGTAATGACTATGATTTTTTTTAACAGTTACCTTAACAGAGATATGGTTCACTACAGAGCAACTGCGTAGAAAATTTAGAAAAAATAACTCTGAAGTTATTCTGCTCTGATATCTAGTCTAAATGGAACTTTTTCAGATTGGGTTGAAGCTAGTTGTCATGGGTATGGATGAGGATGAGCTGACAGAGCCTGCAGAAACCACAGCTGGCCCCTCTGAAGCAGCAGAGGAGGATAGCTGGCAAGTGCCTGCAACAGCAGTCTTCACACCTTAAAGATAAGAAGGAAGAACAGCAAGCTGAAAGTCCTTCTGACTCACCCCCATGTGAGACTCGTTTAAGGGAGCTACTGCAGCAAAATGTAGCAACCAGGCGAAGAGAGGCCAAGCTACAAGGGAGGCGCTCACCCAGCCGAGTACTAACAGGAGCCTGGCCAATCATGCTGTTAGCCTGATACCGCTTTATGTACAGCGGGGGCTAAGGGGGAGTTTCGGCCCGTGTATACAGAGAGTAGAGTCTGAATGAGAATCCCTTTCCCCAGAGAGAGAGAGACAACACGACTAAGTGTTTATAAAATACAGTTGTTCTCTTTACTAAATGATATTTGGATTCACAGTCATACAAAAAAACAGATTCGCACACACAAACATACAAGTTCCTTTAGATACAACAGAAATGGAAAGCCATCTCTTTGGAAAATAATAACCTTTATACTAAATGGATGGGAATAGGTAGGGGAAGCGTTTGATACTTATCTGATCCAGAAGCTCGACCTTCACAATGAAGAATGCGGGAACAAAAACTCTAACTAGAGGAACTCTACTCCACACAGTTGGAACCTGCCAACACGTGTGGGCTTCTTGGCTGCAGTCCAAGAGAGCAGGTGAGAATTACCTACAGTGGAACTTAAGTTGCACAGGTGGGGTAAAGGTGGCTAGCGGGGAACAGAGGTTGAACCTCGCCTTTTATAACCTTTTTAGGGGGTTGGCATCTGTGCCAACCTCATACCTGTAGTCCGTCCCATTACCTATACCTATTGGGTACTAGGAGATGACGTGTCTACCTACAGGGAGGGGGCAATATAGAAATCTTAACCTTTAACTCAAGGGAAGCATGTGGTCAAGGTGTGAAGTTGTAATGTCAAGGAAACCTTTGAATTGCAGATAGCTCTAGCTGGTTCCCAAGCTGGAAACAGTCACTTCAGATGCAAACCAGATTTCAGGGTTACGTGTCGACCAGAAATTCCTAGATGGTGGAGGAGCTGTTGTTTCAGATAGTCCTTTTGGCTGACCACAATGGAGATGCCTTCTTCTTCCCAGGCTGGATGGGTAGGTGTGTGCGTGTCTTCATTAGCATATCATCGCAAGCAGAGCACAGCAGCTTCCAAGTGCAAGAGCCACATCAAGTCAAAGCACACAATCTCCCAAACCCATACACCAATGCAAGTACATTCCATTGTCAGCACAATACAAATAAAATGCAATTTTAAGCACATTCCTTAACAATGCAGCTGGCTAATTGGTAGCAGCATTTAACTCCACATTCTGGGCAGTACCCTTTGTGGAAGCAACAAGTCAACTTTGTGCTGCTAGCATCCACTCCGGCTCGGCTCTTGCACCTAGATCTTTGGACCCCTTGGCTTTGGACTTGGCTCCGTGTTCCTGGCTCCTGAACCCGGCTTAGTTTTGGACTAAGTTTCTGGTTAGTGATTTGGACTTTATTTATTTATTTAACTTTAGACTTGCCCTAATCCCTGGGGGGTCTCAGGCCACATCTAGTATTGGGCCACATCTAGTAACTTGGGGGTGGGACTGCCTACCAGCACCCTTGGTGGTGGGCCCTTGATGGTCTTCTGGCTGCTGGCTCGGCTCGGCGTCTACTCGATCTTGGCTCTGTGTTTCTGGCTCCTGACCCTGGCTTGGCTTTTTGGACTTTGCACTGTGTTCTTGGCTCCTGAACTTGGCTTGTTCTGGACTCCCTTGAACTGGCACCCCAGCCTGTGACACTAGTCAAGCATTTACACATGCTGAACTGTGTCAAATGATGATTAAAGAACAATTATTACAACTCTTATCAGAAGACTTGCATCTTTTAGTTAAGACTAAGGATGAGTTGCCTTTAAGAAACATTGGCATGACCACATCCCAAACTTAGTTGGCATTGATTCTAGGAGACTTCTGTGTATTTAACTTTAACTACAGAGTATATAAAAAGATGTCGTTACAGAACTGAGACAAGTGGCAACAGTCTGTAAGGAAGGAACAGCCACCAGAGGAAGAAAATCCAGCCCATCCACATGAAAGATATCAAGACAGAGAATAAGAAGGAAGGATAATGTTGGGAGTGTTGATTGCCCTACTGGTGTGTCTCCTGGTTCTACGCTTTCTGGGACAACTCTGGTCACACCGGTCCTACCCTCCTGGGCCCCTTCGGCTACCCATCATAGGAAACTTTTGGCAATATGCAATCAAGCTTTATAAAGATTCTTTCATCAAGGTATGATGTAGTTTATTTAATGTAGTTAATTAAATAAACTGAGAACTATTTTCAATCATTTCCTTACTAGGCTCACCCAGTTTCTTGACGTTCTGTGCTAGTCACCTATGGAATCTCACCTATCAGGGTTGCATCTGTACAGAGCTCCCTTAAAGGAACTTTTAGAGCTCTCAGCAAGGAAAGAAGCTCTGACCTCTCTTCTCAAGAGGACGCCTACAGATGTTCTCTATTCGCTTCCTTCATGATCACCACATGAGTGCTCAGATCTAAGGAAGGGCACTTGCAAGGAAGGAAGGTAGCTTGTCTAACCAACTGTATGAACACTGAAAGATCATCAGTTCCACTAAAGCAACCTGTTTTCTTTGCTGGTGGTCTCTGTACAGTCCCAAAGATGTGGTGATCAGGGAACCATGTACCCAATGGCAGGTACAGGCTGCCAAAGGAAAACAGGCTCTGAAAAACTGCTCTTTCAAAAGTAGTGTAAGTTTTAGCACAGTGCCTCACTAGGGACCTCTCAGAACCTAAAGATATATATTTTTATAAAACTCTCCTCAAAAGGAGAGAATTTTATTGCTTTTAAATTTTTCAGAAAAATAGGAGGGTATATAGAGGGATTAAGAATAGTAGTGAGTGATGATTGAATTAGTATATTAATCTTTTGTTAGTATTAATACATTCTATAGCTTCTTCTGTGAATGGACAATCTTCTTTACCTTTTTCTTCTCTCAAGTTGTAGGGAACTCCTCCTACCACTCCTCTTTCCTCCGGTTCCCTGTCACCTTCCTCTGGGCAGTCTTCTTCACTGCTAAATACCTTCCATTTGGGAAGTTCTGCTTCGTCCTCTGAACAGGTGTGTCTCTTTAAAAAGTCTTGCGCTTTGAAAATGGAGTCTATCTTTTCTCTTTTGTCTTTAAATGTAAAGACAAGTCCTTCTGGAATCAACCATCTGTAATTAATTTGGTGGTTTTGCAAGAATGTGGTCAGTCCTTTATAAGCCTTCTGCTTCTGACGAATTTCAAATGGTACATCTTTTAAAATCCTTATAGTTTGTTCTCCAATCTTCAAGGGCATTGCTGATGTCGCTTTTAAAATTTGATCTCTGATGCGTTGTTTAGTAAATTTAACAACCACTTCAGCTGGCAGATTATTTTTCTTTGTAAAGTTGGAATAGGCTCAGAGCCTAAAGTTATTGACCTGATAGCAGCTTTGCACAGATATGTAAGAGGAACATGCCCGGAGAATGTGGCAAACTCAGACACCCCAAAGCCCCTTTACAGTACTAGCTGCTTGGTAAGTTCACTTCAGCATATCATTTCAACATTTGAAGGACACATTCATTCCCTTTGCAGGACTGGAATAGCAAAGACAATGATTTTTGACCCTCTTGAAATCATACCACATCGGAGGTCAAACTCTCATCCACTGCAAATCTCCTCTGATATCCTTCCATCCAGGGGGAAAAAAAGCAGAGGAGAGGGGAACACATCCTCAGCTAAATGGAAATCAGTAAGCATGTTAAGGAGAAAAGGGACATCGAGCATTAGTTTGTGTGCTTAGCAATCATTCAGTGGTATTGCCTTGAATCAAAAAAGCAAAGAATAACAAGTTTCAGTGTCATTTAGCCCTATACTCAAGCTGGTTTTGTCAATCTGACAGGACAGCAGCTGCCCTTCCAAGCGATTGAAAAAAAAAACTTTCCTGCATAGAGCAGTGGGTGACCCTCAATCATTGGACAGAAAAGAATTGCTGCTACATGTAGTGAAGAAATGGCTAAAGCAGAATACTGCAAGTGCATGCATAATATACTCCCAGATGCCAACCCCCTAAAAAGGTTATATATGTGACTGTTATTATGTACCTTGACATATTTATGTCTATTTTATGTACCTATTTTACCCCCCTTTGGTATCCTCTTGGTCAAGACTTCGGTCATAAAGACCTGTAATAAATTGAAATTGAAAAAAATATACTCCCAAATGAATCAGAGCTAGTTGTAGATCATAACTGTGAAAACTTCAGAAATCACAGAATATGGACTTAACGATCGTGTAGTGACCAGATTATTCTAAACAGATTCTGCTACCTGAAATATCTTCTGCTCATGATCCATTTGGAATGGAAAATGAATGAGTTGATTTCTTAAAAAAATGGAAGAGGTGAATGGCATGGAAACATTCATTTTTGGCAGGAATGGGGAATTTGATCTCCAACAGCATAGGCAGGCATCTGTCATGGAGAAAGAAGAGGAAGGATCATTTTAAGCCCCACTGGTTTAACAGTCCCTCTTCTAGTTTGTCATAAGTAGGAAGAACAAAAGAATACAGAATAATGCCAGCCCATTCATAGCTCTGGAAAGGAGAAAGCTAAACATCTGATATTTCTAAACAAGACAGCTAAGAATATAGAAACAGCATTTAACTAACATTATACTAGTGTAGATGAATCATTCAAAGTCAGTGTTTTCGAAAAAGAACTCAGAGAGGGACAAAACAGGTGCATACACTCCTAATAATTAACAAATCAGCCACACAATTGTGAACTTTTTCAACATCTATACCCACCAGCCAGATCTCATTGCCAAGGCAGCAATGTTGGAGTTCTAAGAGAAGAGGCACAGTGTATCTGGCCTGGTGTGTTCTTGCTTAGTCATAAAAAGCTTCGTGGAGACCTCTTCCGGGACATCTGAATAATTTTCTCTCCTATAGATGGAAAGAGACACCTTTGTCTCTGACAAATCCCAACCTTTACAGGCTGGGAGCTTCTTTAAGTTTAACCATACAGGGTGGCTGTATCATCCTCTGGCAGTGAGTGCTTCCTTCAGTCACTTTTAGAAAACAAGCTCTTCCAAACGGGGAAGAAGATATTTTTCTCTGCAAAACTCGGCTAGCATTGAGGAATCTAGAATAAGAAAAGGTAAAGTAAAGGTAAAGTTTCCCTTGCTTGAAAGCCAGTCAAATCCGACTCTAGGGTTGCGATGCTCATCTCCGTTTCAACGCCGAAGAGCCAGCGCTGTCCGAAGACGTTTCCGTGCTCATATGGCCGGCATGACTAAACACCAAGGCGCACGGAACGGTGTGACCTTCCCACCGAAGTGGTACCTATTTATCTACTTGCAATTTCTTGCTTTCAAACTGCTAGGTGGGCAGGAGCTGGAACTAGAGATGGGAGCTCACCCCATCATGCGGCACCCGGGTCTCGAACTGCTGAAATACTGACCTTCCACAGCCTGCAGTTCAGCGTCTTAACCACTTGAGCCACCGCAGCTCCAATACCAATATATAAAGGTACCAATATATAAAATGTGTAATAATAATTCAATAACGCAAAACTATAATTATATAACAATATTGGCCAAGGTGTAATATCAAAGTCCAATTTGATGTGATGGAGTGAACATTTCGGAAGTTCCATAAGCCATAAAAAGCCATGCCGCGTAGTCCGGATGCTGGCTGCTGCGTTTCGAGTTGTTCTTATTCAAAAGCAATAGGCTATAAGGGGACCCAATCTCAGTAGAAGGCACATACAAAGCCAGTATAATCAGTATAATCAGCCACTCTGTGATGAATTGCACGTCAAATTGGACTTTGATATTACAATGCTACTGGAGTGAGACACAGTAAAATACTTGGGACTTCATTCTTCTTTCCATTATTCTTCTTCCTTCTGTATCTTGGTTACACCTTGGCCAATATTGTTATATACTTATATTTTTGCATTATTGAATTATTATTACACATTTTATATATTGGTTATCTCTAGTCAGTGGTTTTTGTGCTTTGTTCGTATCCTGGTACACTGGCTCTCCTTCTTTTTTGGTTGCTTAAGAAAAGGTACCAGCAGCATGGCGTTCTTAGTACTCATTCCCACTGGAACAATAAAGAGGTTTTTGGGGTCTTGTAGGGTTGCCAAGTCTAGGTTGGTAAATTCCTAGAGATTTGGGAGTGGAGCCTGGGCAAGGTGGGCTTTGAGGAGGTAAAGGACCTCAGCAGAAATTAGAACATTTCTCACTTGGCGATATTGATTATCGATTAACTCAGAACGGGAACATAGATCAACGTCCTCCCATTTTTTATGCTCTGTTTTTGACCCACCTTCTTTAGCAGCCGGCTCTGATGCTGATGATGTTATCTGCAAAGAGCACGGTTACCTGTACTGTCCCTTTCTAATCCCCTATGACATGAACAGTATTTGGGAGAGCCAAATTCCAATCCCCAATCTGCCCGGAAGCTGACCGAGTCTTGGCCCAATCTTGGCCCAGTTTGATCAACTTTATGGGATTTGTTTAAAGATATGATGCAGGTGGGGAAAGGGGTGCATGACACCCAGTGCTTCTCGAAAGAAGAAACAGATAAAATGCACTCAAATAAATAAATCATGCTTGAGTATAACAGATTTGTCTGTTATTTGATTTGTACTTCTGGGAGGGTCGACAGGTAAGAGGAACCTATAAAGAGACCTGAAGATGCCCCCCCCCCCCAGGGAAGGAAGCAGAGACAACAACATAGGGCAAGGCAGGAATTTGAAAGAAAGGAAATGGGCAGAGAAGAGAGTGTCACATGGCCAGGAGCCAGAAGAGGTAAAGAAGAGTGAATGGCACTTGCCGCACTGAAACAAACCAGCTGAAATAATTTACATTTTTCTCTTGTCTCTTTCGATGCAAATGGCAGCTGGCCAAAAAATATGGAAACATTTACATGTTGTGGCTGGGATCCATACCTATAGTTGTCCTGTCTGGATATGAAGCGGTGAAAGAAGGGCTGATAAGCCATTCAGAAGAGTTTGCTGATCGGCCGGTGACCCCAATGCTGAAAACTGTAGTAAAGAACCGGGGTAAGTTGTTGGGAAGAGCAAAAAATGGTTTTGGTGAAAGACAATCCTTGTCCTCCCTGCAGGTTTGTACAAAACCCCTCCCCCTCTGTCAACCACCAATCATACCATACTTGCATCTCTCAACCACTCGAGTCTACCTACCACAGCCATGCAACCAAACTTTTAAAGACACACACACACACTCAAACAAGGAATCATTACAGTCCCTAAGGGAGACCTTGGGCTGCTGTAATCTGAAGGGGACCTGGGGGCAGCTTGAGTGGAAGCTGTCCGATTCCTTTGTTGCAGGGACAGAATCTGGGTATGTAGCACACTCCAGCTTCCCCCTTTCTTTCCTGGTGGACCTTGAGAAGCCCTCATTTACAAAAACGGAGGGCTGCTCACACCCTGTTCTTCCTTCAGTCAGCCACTTGCTCTTAGAGTTGTTAGAGACAGATGGGAAGCAAACGTAAAAGGTAACAAGAAATAGAATCAGGAGTGGGGTTGCCAGGTTTTGGTTGAGAAATACCTAAAGACTTGGGGGGTGGAGTCTGAGGAGGGCGGGATTTGGGGAGGGGAGGGACCTCAGCAGAGTATCATGCCACGGAGTCCATCTTCCAAAGCCGCCATTTTCTCCAGGGCAACTGATCTCTATTGGCTGGAGATCAGCCGTGATAGTGGGGGATCTCCAGGCACCACCTGGAGGTTGGCAGCCTTGGGAAGTCCAAATGAAGTTTTCTTTTTTTTAATAAGTACCCAAGGTCTATTGGCTGGAGATCAGCCGTGATAGTGGGGGATCTCCAGGCACCACCTGGAGGTTGGCAGCCTTGGGAAGTCCAAATGAAGTTTTCTTTTTTTTAATAAGTACCCAAGGGTACACTTTTATTATTTTTTCTATTATATACTACAGACATACAAACACACATACAAACAACCCCTAACTACCCCCCACAACATATAACAAGAGACTTTATCATTTCTTCTGCTTGTTAGATTTCTAAATTCATTATCTATTTTGCTAAGCTTATCTTTTCTGCATTCTCAGATTACTACATTTACTTATCAGTTGCATTTACAAATGAAGTTTTCCACTGACTTGCACATAGAGAGGGAGGGAGAACATTTCGAATAACCAGTGTAAAGAAATACAAGAAAATAACAAAAAGGGAAGAACAAGAGATAGGTTTCACGAAATGTGAAAAATCAAAGGGAAAATTAAAGCACTGTTAGGCACGGTGAAACATCGACACAGAAATGCATTAACTGAACAGGTCAAAATAAAGAAAAGGTGGAAACTATACACAAAAGAACTATGCAGAAGAGATGAAAGGATGACAGATTCCTGCAAAGAATTACATCATCAGTCCCCCAATTCCTGAGAAACGTACGATCTTCCAAGAAACACTCTTTTGGCCACCATGGATGTTGAGTTTCTATTAGGGATGGGAACGAACCCACAAATGAATCCTGATTTGAGCATCGACCAGGTCGGTTCGTGGTTTGTGGAACAGGGGTTCAGGAGAACTGTCTCCCATGAGGAAATACAGGCAGTGCAGTCCATAGAGATTTTAAGGAGACATTTCTATTCTATTTGGTAGGACATAGGATGCAGGGATTTGGGGGATGGGTATGCAGGGTTCCATTCAAGTCTGAATGCTTTTATATTTGAATGTGTAAGCTATCTTATGGGAAAGATGGGGTAGAAATATTTTAATAAATAAATAATGTACAGTAACTTTATCACTATCCACTGTCATGATCTCTGAATTGCCACCTTTCTTTTAAAAAAAGTGTCTAGCCCTTGTCATTGTGGTTATAGAATCATAGAATCATAGAGTTGGAAGGGACCTCCAGGGTCCTGTACAAGGCTGGAAATTCACAAATACCTCCCCCTCCACACCCACAGTGACCACTGTTCCATGCCCAGAAGATGACAAAAAACCTCCAGGATCTCCAGCCAAACTGGCCTGGAGAAAAATTACTTCCTGACCCCAAAGTAGCGATCAGCATTTCCCTGGGCATGTAAGGAAGGGCCAGAAAAACTAACCACTGAAGCAACCCTTCCTGCCCTCCCTTCTCATGATCTGCCTAAGTTCACAGAATCTGCATTGCTGCATTGCTGCATTGCTGTCAGCCTCTGTTTGAAAACCTCTAAAGAAGGAGAGCCCACCATCTCCCGAGGAAACCTGTTCCACAGAAGAACCACTCTGTCAGGAAGTTCTTCTTAATATTTAGCTGAAAGCTCTTCTGCTTTAATTTCAACCCGTTAGTTCTGGTCTGACCTTCTGAGACAGTAGAAAACAACTCTGTACCATCCTCTATATAACAGTCCTTCAAGTACTTGAAGATAATGATCATATCACCTCTCAGTCGTCTCCTCTCCAGGCTAAACATACCCAGCGCCTTCAACCTTTCCTCATAGGACTTGGTCTCCAGACCCCACACCATCTTCGTTACTCTCCTTTGGACACATTCCAGCATGTCTATATCTTTCTTAAATTGTGGAGCCACAAACTGAACACAATACTCTAGGTGAGGTCTAACCAGAACAGAGTAAAGCAATACCATCACTTCGCATGATCTGGACACTATACATCTGTGGATACAGCCCAAAATCACATTTGCCTTTTTAGCAACCACATCACACTGCTGGCTCATGTTCAGTGTATGGTCCACTAAGACCCCTAGATCCACACATACTACTGCCAGGACAAGTCTCCCCCAACCTATAATTATGCATTTTATTTTTCCTGCCTAAATGCAGAACTTTACATTTATTCCCATTGGCATTCATTTTATTTGTTTTAGCCCAGTTTTGCAGCATGTCAAGATCATCCAGTATTCTGACTCTGTCTTCTACTGTATTTGCTACCCCTCCCAATTTACTTTGTTGTTCAATCACACAGTCGAGTCCGACTCTTCGCGATCCCATGGATCACATCGTGCCAGGCCCTCCTGTCTTCCGCCGTCCTCTGAAGTTTGCTTAATTTCATGTTTGTTGCATCAATAACACTGTCTAACCAACTCATCCTTTGCCATCCTCTTCTTCTTTGACCTTCAATCTTTCCCAGCATCAGGGTCCACTTCAGTGAGTGCTCCCTTCTCATTTCGTGACCAAAGTATTTGAGCATCAATATCTGGCCTTCCAGGGGACAGTCAGGGTTGATTTCTTTTAGAATTGACTGATTTGATCTCCTTGCATTCCAAGGGACTCTCAAGAGTCTTCTCCAGCACCACAATGCAAAAGCATCTATCCTTTGGCGCTTGGCCTTCCTTGTGGCCCAACTCTCGCAGCCATACATTACTGCTGGGAATACCATTGCTTTGACCATACAGATGTTAGTTGGCAGGGTGATGTCTCTACTTTTTATTATGCTGTTTAGGTTTGCCATTGCTTTCCTCCCAAGGAGCAGGCAAACCTAGACAGATGTACAGGCAAACCTCAGATGTACACAAAATGTTCTACATCTTACAATAGTACTACAGGTAAGATTAGAATTTCAACAGCCAATCCATATGCAAAAGAACCCCCTCAGGAAACCTCTACCATTAGCATGTCACAGCCTGGGGAACTCCTACAAGAAGAAGAAGACGAGAAGAAGAGATTGGATTTATACCCTGCCCTTCACTACCCAAAGGTGTCTCAGAGTGGCTTACAAACTCCTTTCCCTTCACCTCCCCACAACAGATGAGATAATGACTCAGCCCTACTCCACCTTCCTGAGTAGATATAAATTATCTGCCTATCATTTTTCTTCCCACCTTGACACAGATAGAACTCCATCTTTCTGTGTTATACCTCTGAGGATGCCAGTCACAGCTGCTGGCAAAATGTCTGGTCCTAAAATGCCAAGACCACCGCCATACAGCCCGGAAAATCTACAACAACTGATCACATTTTTCCAATTTGTCAACAAGTATTTTATGTGGAACCTTATCAAAAGCCTTACTGAAATTAAGGTAAACTATGTCTACAGCATTCCCCTGATCCAGCAAGGTAGTAAATTTTTAAAAGAGAGAGAGAGATACGGTTAGTCTGACATGACTTGTTCTTGAGAAACCCATACTGGCTCTTAGTAATTACAGCCATCTTTTCTTTTTCTTATGTTTATTAGCTTCTATGACCAAAGGTCTTAAGATCAATTATCAAACATGGATATATAGTTGACTGTATTTCTTGACTATAGAAGTCATCACCCCCCACCGGCCGGCTTGTTATCAGAATTGTTGCTTAGGCTGATAGAAGTGATTAACTTGAAGCAGCTGAGAACTGTCATCTAAAGTGGTTGAGAGTCTGCAATTTAGAGATCTATCCTGGTAACAGCTTTCTATTGGCTAAATGGATTTTATTTCAGCATGGAGAACTTGAGCCCAACCAGAAAATAAAATTCTCCAACAAGCGACACCACCCTGGCTATGAGCCTGCATGTAGAAGCATTCAGCTTGTTATTTCCCAGGCTGACAACCTAAACTTTATAGCAGTAATTGCTTTGAGTACTAATTTCTGTTTCATTCTTCATGGCTTTAGGTATTATGTTGTCAAATGGCCACACCTGGAAGCAACAGAGGAAATTCGGGATAGCCACGATGCGGAAGCTGGGACTGGGGAAGAAAGGCATGGAGCACCAAATAGAAGAGGAGGCCCATCAGCTTGTTGAGACTTTTGCACGTGCAAAAGGTATATGATGTCAGGAAATTGGGCTGGCCAATGGGTGATGTAGTCTACCAATACCGGCACGCCAGCCCCATTTTCCACATTGTTTCTTCACTGGCGTTTGAGGTGCCAGCAAGCAGCAGATATGACTGCCCGGCATCCTTACTCCCGCATCAGCTAGCCATTCAATAACAGCAATAATAACCCTATATAAATTATCCCCTATTGGGAGTTAGAAACACCATCAACTTATACTTACATGGCTTCCAAACCATTCTCTCTCCTTTCATTTATATTTAACTAGAAATAAGGCCCATTGTGGAAATAAATACAACGAGCTCTAGGAAGAGGCTTTGGGAGAGTGCCCCGGCCTTGGGCACTCAGCGTCAATTTGCTGTGGCGACCTCAGAAGGGTATAATGACAGAGAATCCATCATTTTCTCCTGGGGAACTGATCTTTGCCATCTGAAGAGCAATTGTAATTCTGAGTGATCTCCAGACCCCACCTGGAGACTGGCAACAATGGTTCCCAATGAGGGAATGGCTGGCTTGGAGGGTGAAGTCCGTGGCATTGCACTTATCTGAGGTCTCACCCCTCCTCAACCTCCACCCTCTCCAGGCTCCATCCCTCAAATATCCAGGAATTTCCCAACTGGAGTTGGCAACCCTATCAGGACTGGTCCCAATGAGTTTTCTCCCAAAGGCAAAAATAGGTGTGGAAAGGGCCTTTTACTGACAGAACCTGGTTGCCTAGCAACAGGCACTGAGGAGAAAGCACAGCTGCCACCTCTGATTAGGGAAATACCTGGAGATTTGGGGGGTGGATCTCATGGAGGGCAGCACAGGGGGGGGATGGAAGGACTCAGCAGGGGATAATGCCATAGGGCCCACTCTCCGAAGCAGCCATTTTTTCCGGGGGAACTGATCTCTGTCATCTGGAGATCAATTGTAACAGCAGGAGATCTCCAGGTCCCACCTGGAGACTGGCAACCATAGGGAAAAGTCAGCCACACAGCAGGGTGTTGAAGAGAATGGTTTGACTGTCGCTGGCTCACCTCATTAGTCAGCCAGCCATGGTGGAGCCAAATAGGAGAGAGAGCAGGTTTAAATGTATTCTGACAGGAAGGTGGCCAAGCTGGCAGTGGGCAGGGGAGGGGGTTATGCTGAAAGTCCTTTTTTTATTGACAGAAGTTGATTGCCTGCCAAGAGCCACTGAGGGGAAAATTAGTCAAAGTTAGGCCCACACAGGAGCCAAGAGAAGTGTCTTCTTCAGGAGAGAGTCCGGCTTTCCAGGAGCGACAGCTCGTTTCCTCCAAGCCTGACCCTCCCTGGCACTTCTGCTGCTGAAGGAAGGTGGGGGAGCTGTTGAAAGGCACTGGGCAGCCTTCTCTGCGGTGCAGCTTGCTGAGCTATTGCCCTGACAAAGCACCGGCCTTACAGCCGAGGGAGACAGGCCACGAGGGGCAGTGAAGGTGAGCGCTTCCCCTGCTTGCTGCTGCTCGCTAGGTCTGCCTCCTTCTCCCCCATGGAGGGGTTGCCGCTCCCTCAGCAGAGTGTCCATCCCCTTCACTGACCCCCTCCAGACTGAGAGCGAGACGCTGTCTGCCGGCTTTGTTGGGCAGGGCTGAGCCAACGCAGCAAGGCAATGCAGCCAGGGGATTGGGAGTCTGTGAGAGTGGCAGCTGAGTGGGCCAAAGGCTGTGGGAGCGTGTCCAGGAGTCACACCAAAACTCTTTTATATGATTATAAAGTAGGCAGACAGGGAGTAGAAAAAAAGGACACTAATCTAAACAAAAAAAACAGACAGAAGAATTATGGCTGTAGCAGATTGGCTCTCTAAATTTTCGAGGTGCTCCTCCCCTGGTCATCTGCCATAAGTTCAACTAAAGAGACAGATTTCTTGTGCAGTTTGATATCAAAGGAAGGCACTCTGTTTTTGTTTGAAAAGTGAAAAGTGTCTCTTTCTGTTCCTGCAGGGAACTCAAAGTGGCATACATGCACCTCTCCTTTCTCTTTTATCCCCACAAGAGTCCTGAAAATTCATAAGAACATAAGAGAAGCCAATTTTGGATCAGGCCAATGGCCCATCCAGTCCAACACTCTGTCACACAGTGGCCAAAAATTCCAGGTGCCATCAGGGGGTCCAGCAGTGGGGCCAGGACACTGGAAGTCCTCCCGCTGTTGCCCTCCCCAAGTACCAAGAATACAGAGCATTACTTGCCCCAGACTGAGAGTTCCTATCTATACCTTGTGGCTAATAGCCACTGATGGACCTCTGCTCCAGACATTTATCCAATTCCCTCTTGAAGCCGTCCATGCTTGTAGCCACCACCCCCTCCTGTGGCAGTGAGTTCCATGTGTTAATCACTCTTTGGGTGAAGAAGTACTTCCTTTTATCTGTTCTAACCCAATTGCTCAGCAATTTCACTGAGTACCCACGAGTCCTTGTCTTGTGAGAAAGGGAGAAAAGGACTTCTTTCTCAACCTGCTCTATCCCACGCATAACCTTGTAAACCTCGATCATGTCACCCCTCAGCCGTGGTCTCTCCAAGCTAAAGCGCCCCAAGTGTTTTAACCTTTCTTCATAGGGTTCCAACCCTTTCATCATTCTAGTTGCTTGGGAGCTTGGGATAGTGTAACTGGCCCAAAGGCACCCATTAATTTGAACTGGAGCTTGTTGTATTCTTCAGTTTGGTGTAGTGGTTTGGTGTAGCCAGTTTGGTGTAGTGGTTAAGTGTGTGGACTCTAATCTGGGAGAACCGGGTTTGCACCTGACTGGATGACCTTGGGCAAGGCATAGTTCTGATAAGAGCTGTTTTTGAAAAAGAGCAGTTTCTGTCAAGAGCTCTCTCAGCCCCACCTACCTCACAGGTGTCTGTTGTGGGGAGGGGAAGGGAAAGGAGTTTGTAAGCCGCTCTGAGACTCCTTCAGGTAGTGAAGGGCAGGGTATAAATCCAGTCTCCTTCTTCATCAGGCACTCTGACCACCATATAACACTGTCAATGGGGGAGTGATAGCACAGGGATAGTGTAACTGGCCCAAAGGCACCCATTAATTTGAACTGGAGCTTGTTGTATTCTTCAGTTTTGTGTAGTGGTTTGGTGTAGCCAGTTTGGTGTAGTGGTTAAGTGCGGGGACTCTAATCTGGGAGAACGGGGTTTGATTCCCCATTCCTCCACTTGCACCTGGCTGGATGACCTTGGGCAAGGTGTAGTTCTGATAAGAGCTGTTCTTGAAAAAGAGCAGTTTCTGTCAAGAGCTCTCTCAGCCCCACCTACCTCGCAGGGTGTCTGTTGTGGGGAAGGGAAGGGAAAAGGAGTTCGTAAGCCGCTCTGAGACTCCTTTGGGTAGTGAAGGGCAGGGTATAAATCCAATCTCTTATCTTCTTCTTCTTCATCAGGCACTCTAACCACCATATAACACTGTCAATGGGGGAGTGATAGGACAGCAAGCACTGAAATCACTTAGCCAGAGCCCTTAGTATTTTCCTTCATGGACTCATTGCGACATCCCCACCTACCCCCAGAATGCCCCACCAAATCCCCCCCCCACCAGATCGACGAGGGGACCTGGCAACCCTAAGTTCTTAAGGAAGAAGTGGAACCTTAGATGACATCTCAGAATGACCTTTATTAAAACCTGCCGTGGTTGGGTGTGAGGAGATATTTGTCGATGTTGTATGTTCTGGGAAAGACCTTGGTACGTGTTAAAATGTTTTCTGAAAGATATACTACTCTTAAGATTGCAAAGATCTCACTATCTGTTACCTAACTCCACTATGAGATCTACTCTTGAGCGCTCATAGAAGTTGTAACCAACTTTACTTGCAGGGCAGGCATTTGACCCTACAATGCCCATTACTAATTCTGTCTCCAATATGATCTGTGCTGTGGCTTTTGGACATCGGTTTCCTGTTGAAGACAAAGAATTCATCAAGTTGATGGAAGCCATTAACAATCTGCTTACATTTATCAGCAGCTTAAGTCATGTTGTAAGTCATTTTCTTTCGCTTTCCTATTAGGTCAGGCAGGCATTTCCTAGATTCCTTTTCCTTCCATGTGTAAGATGAAGCTTTTAAGATAACTAGGGATGCAGAAGAATTTCACATATTCATTGGTTGACTCAAACTTTATGGTTTAAATGAGTTCTGTCAGAATGAGAAGACTTTCAATTTTATAATAAACAATGGAAAAGTAGACATCAGTATGGATGCCTTTTGTTCATGGGGTTCGATTTAAGCACATTTTTACACTCTGCCTCCACTGGCTGATCATTCTTTTGTTATATTGATTTCCTAGATTGACTAGGTGATATAATTTGTTTAAATCTATGTTTTATTTTACCCATATGGGCCATGTTGAACCACTGAGAAACATAGACTAATCTATCTCGTTCAGGTTCAGGTTTCAGCTTATTGCCTTTAGCCATAGGCCATTTCAATGGCAGAACAATGTAACAATAACATCTAGATAAACTTCTAAATCCAGAAGAATTAAAAACTAAGTTAGGTGGCAATAATAATTCTATCTCTCCCATCCATATTTATTTATTTATTTTATATTTATACCCCACCCTCCCCGCAAGCGGGCTCAGGGCGGCTTACAAGGGAGCACCGGTGCTCACACATAAAAACACAGTAAAACAGAATAAAACAGTAAAACCATTTAAATCAACAAAGAATAAAGTGCTCAATAAGAACAGGATGGTCTCCATAGTTTGCAGGGGAATATCAGGCTGCTGTTAAAGATGGCATTGCCTACAGTTGGTATATAGTCCACCTATAGTTAGTACATAGTCTGGTGGTACCAGTACCGTGTAGTATTTTGGCAGATCTTCCATGGCCATCCTTCCGTCCTGTTATTAATCACATGATGGTAATAGTGGTGGTAGTGGCGGCCCCTACGTGAAAGCCTGGCGGAAGAGCTCCGTCTTGCCGGCCCTGCGGAACTGCATGAGGTCCCGCAGGGCCCTGATCTCCTCTGGGAGCTTGTTCCACCAGGTAGGGGCCGCCATTGAAAAGGAGCCGCAACACTCCCAAAGAACAAGAACTTGCCCAGGCTACTTGAAAGACTATGTGTGCTGACTTGGGTGTGTGTGTTGTGTTATATGGATAGCCTGTAGAATTCCACACAGAAGATCCTCTCAGCCACCGATGAGTCAGCCTCATTGTCTCCGGACTCACCTCTTCCCCCTCCCAGGTACCAACGGTCAAGGTAGCCAATAGAATTGAAATTCACCCCGTTAGCCAATCCCAGACCATAGGGAAGGGCCACCTGAGCCTTCCCTCCCACTCTCTCCAGCAGCTTTAAAACTTAGAGCACAGGGTGACCTAGAGACCCTTCTCCTACCATTACCTACGCCCTCTGCCTGTCTGCTGTTTCCCCTTATGCTCAGCTCACTGTACCAAAACCCTTGCCTCACTTTACACTCTAGTCTGCAGCTAGAGTGCTACACGTGTTTTCAGCTGGCCTGATTACACGCGCCTTCCCCATTTATATTTTCCTCCCCACCCTAATACCTCCTGCTGGAAGATTTAGGAGATGCGCATCGCCTGAGGTAAATATCGCCCACCAACGATACCCTGCTAATGCGACTGTCCTATCCCAAATCTCTCTGTTTTACTTAGTTCTTGTGTGTGTGTATGTAATTGTGTGCCTTGAGTGATACTGTTCCCTTCCCACTGAAGTGATACCTATTTATCTACTTGCACGTGCTTTCGAACTGCTAGGTTGGCAGGAGCTGGAACTAGAGACGGGAGCTCACTCCGTCATGCGGCACTCGGGTCTCGAACTGCTGAACTACCGACCTTCCACAGCCTGCAGTTCAGCATCTTCACCACTTGAGCCACCGCAGCTCCTATCTCATTCCACACACACATGGAAAGTATTCCTTCATGTTAGTAGAAAAGGTTTTGTTCAATTTTTGTAGCAATTAGGAATGTGGCAAATTTGGGGTAGGGCTGTAAACTTCAAAGAAGGTTTGTTTTAATTTGGGGCGGGCTCAAGTGGTTAAGACACTGAACTGCAGGCCAGAAGCAGTTCGAGACCCGAGTGCTGCATGACAAAGTGAGCTCCCATCTTTGGTCCCAGCTCCAAACTAGCAGTTCGAAAGCAAGAAATTGCAAGTAGATAAATAGGTACCGCTTCAGTGGGAAGGTAACAGCGTTCCATGCGTCTTGGCATCTAGTCATGCCAGCCACATGACTACAGAAATGCCTTTGGACAGCGCTGGCTCTTCGGCTTGGAAACGGAGATGAGCACCGCAACCCTAGAATTGGATTTGACTGGCTTTCGAGCAAGGGAAACCTTTACCTTTACCTCCCCACCCCGAAGGTCATGATTTTCAGTATGCTGAAATTTGAGGAGGGGTATTGTTATTGTAACCATGGGGCAAAGCGAGCCCATAACTACAGTGGGGTCTCTTGGGGCCCAGCCCCCCTGACTTACTACCAAGGCCCTCTGACTTTCTATCCGGCCCAGACCCCCTGAATTCCCATTTTTTAATTTTATTTTTCGTCTTCCTTTTCATCTTCCTTGTAGCTCTATGAACTTTTCCCATGGATCATGGATTGCCTCCCGGGGCCTCACAAGAAGGCCCTTTCAAGCACAGAGGCTGTGCTTTCGTTTGCAAGGAATATGATAGAAAAGCATAAGGAGCATCCCGCTGTCCATGAGCCACAAGATTTCATTGATTTCTACCTGTTTCAGATGGAGAAAGTAAGTATTCACCTTCCACGTGAAGTCAGATACACTCAATAAAAAGGAAAACAATGACCGTGAATGCAAACGGTATTGTTTGAGACCTCTACATCAGTTTCACTGCATGAGCTTCAGGTTCAGAACGTGGAATGGAGATCCTCCATACCTGTTTCAGATGGAGAAAGTAAGTATTCACCTTCCACGTGAAGTCAGATACACTCAATAAAAAGGAAAACAATGACCGTGAATGCAAACGGTATTGTTTGAGACCTCTACATCAGTTTCACTGCATGAGCTTCAGGTTCAGAACGTGGAATGGAGATCCTCCTCTCCAGCTCAGAATGTGTGACCCATTTGTATCACACGGGTGTTGTGTGGTGTTGGTGGGGAGGGAACTGGTTTTCCTGAAGAGGCAGCATTTCCCCGAGTATTGCCTTCAGGTTTCTAAGCGACCCAAAACAAAAAGGAGGAATCCCTTCAGACCAAAGAAGAGCAGTTCAAAGTACAGAACAGCCCAGTTTCTGATGGTGTTACAGTACATCAATGTTCTCTGTACGGTTTGCCATTGTTGTTTGTCGCAACGTTACAACTGACTTACAGCAGCTCCATCGGATGTCCAAGGCAAGAGACGTTCAGAGGGAGTTTGCCATTGCCTGGCTCCATGCCATGACCCTGTTCTTCCTTGGTGGTCTCCAGTGTTCCCTCTAAGCTGAGTTAGTGTGAGCCAGCTCACAGTTTTTTTAGCCTCCGGCTCACACATTTTTGTGTTAGCTCAGGAAGGAGGGTTCCAGAGCAGACTAACTGACGCAGCAGCCAAATCGGTCGCTCACAACTTTAATGCCAGTAGCTCACAAAGTAGAATCTTTGCTTACAAGACTTCATGGCTTAGAGGGAACATTGGTGGTCTCCCATCCAGATAAAAGCCAGGGATGACCCTGCTTAATTTCTGAGATCTGACAAGATCAGGCTAGTCTGGGCTATCCAGGTCAGGATACGATACTGTTGTAACTTGAGATCAGGCAGCTCTTTAATCAGTGATTTCAGTTGATTGGAACAGAACACATAACGACACGCAACACAGAGAACAACCCCAACTTATATACAGTTTGGAACTGGCTAAACCACACCCCTAGAACAGTAAGGTCCAATCCTAAGTGAGTGCTTAGGACCAATAGGGTTTGTTCCTGCCGAAAGACATAGTCTTCCCTGATTGGTCCATTGCACAATGGCAGCCAATTGGTCTGTCGATTTCAGGATACTGAGAGTCTATAGAGCTGGTGACTGAAGCTCAGGCTCATTCTACAGGCTATCCATATAACACAACACACACACCCAAGTCAGCACACATAGTCTTTCAAGACGCCCAGGCAAGTTCTTGTTCTTTGGGAGTGTTGCGGCTCCCTCACTGGAAAGGCATGGTCTCTGTTGGGAGAGGGTGAATTACTGTTGGTGCTGCACTCTGGAGCTGCCGGACTGGTCAGGGCTGGACCGTATAGAGGCTTGGCTCCAACGCATGGTGTCGAGCCTGGGGGCACTTCAGTTTCGGAGGCTGATGCTGAATCCGAGGAGGTGCCGGCTCCGATGGCTGGTGTCAGGTTTGAGGCAGGCACGGTCCTGACGATGGGCGGTGGAATAGTTGTCGATGCAGTAGGTGTCAAGTCCGGTCCCATAGACTGGCTGGCATTGTCCCTCAGCTCTGACTCTTCAGCCTATTGACACCGTAGTTGGCCGATGTGTCTCTGGAGGCTCCTACCACTGGATGTGTTTACCATGTAGGAGACTGGTCCAGTAGCCAAGGTCACTGTGGCCGGAATTCTGAATGGCCCCTCACTGTAGCTCTGGGTGTAGATGGTGTCGCCAATCTGGAATAAGCAGGGTGTCTCTGGGGACTTTCGCTGTGGTGGGTGGTTGGATGTGAAATCTGGATGCAGATGGTCGAGCAGCGAAGCAAACCCCAATCATGCTGGACTCCTCCCAGTGGCTGTGTGTGGTGGTATGTGCTGTTGGAGCAAGAAGTCCACCAACCTTTGATTCCAGTCTCCATGAATGATCTTGTGGAGTGCATCTTTCGTGGTTCGCACCATCCACTCAGCTTGTCCGTTTGTGGTGGGATGGAACAGGGCTGCCGTGACATGCCAGATCAGGTTTGCTTCCATGAACCTCTGGAACTTGAAGGACGTGAACTGGGTTCCGTTATCGGATACGATAGTCTCTGGCAGTCTGTGTGTGGAGAAGATGCAGCACAGCATCCGGATAACCAATGCTGAAGTCATGGACAACATTGGAACCACCTCCAGCCACTTCAACTAAGAGTCCACCACGATTAAGAAGACTTGTCCCTGAAAGTCTATATGCAGGTGGGACCATGGCAGACAAGTGGTCTCCCATCACTGGACTGGAGCCTGTGGTGAATCTGACTGTGATTCCTGGCAGGGCTGGTGGGTTCAGAACCAATTTCCTGGTCCAGGTGAGGCCACCACACATAGTTTTGAGCTAGGACCTTCATGCGGACGATGCCAGGATGTCCCACATGCAGCACCTCTAGCACCTGGCAGCGTAGTTTGGGGGGAATGACAACATGTTTTCCCCACAGCAGGCATCCTTTATGCACAGAGAGTAAGTGTTGTTGAAAGCTGAATGGCTGGAACTTGGCCTCGAGTTGGCTGGTTGGCCATCCCCTCCACACCCAGTTGAGGACCCAGGAGAGTGTCAGGTCCTTCGTTGAGTGGGAGGCAATGTCAGAGGCATGGATTGCAGCAGCTCCTCAATGGCCATAACTTCACAGGCTGGTGAAGGGTCTATGGCCGGACCCGAAACTGGCAGGCGGCTTAGAGCATTGGTGTGGCTGATAGTTTTCCTGTGGTGGTAGACAAGATCAAAGGCATAGGCCAATAGGAAAAGACCAATAGGGTTTGTTCCCGCCAAAAGTCATAGTCTTCCCTGATTGGTCCATTGCACAATGGCAGCCAATCAGGCTGTTCATTTCAGGATACTGAGAGTCTATGGAGCTTGTGAATGAAGCTCAGGCTCACTCTACAATGCAGGCTATCCATATGACACGATACATAACACATACAAATAATATCCATTGTATTGTGGAGAGAATCAAAACATACTGTTACATTATTGGCTATCAATGGCATTGTTAACATGATTTTATGAATGGTTATAATATACTTTTTGCTTCTCATTTGTGGGCTGTAGGTGGTTTATACTATATTTCATATTTAAATTTTATATTCTGTACTTCACTTCTTCAGATTTTTAGGGACAAGTGTGTATTATGTGTCTCAAAAATCTCTAAAAAGCCTGCACGTTGCTAAAAGAAAAACAGGTTTGCCTGAGCCAAGTGAAACAATATGGTCTCTGAAAAATTCCAGTATGGAATATGAAAACCTATTCTTTTATCAGTAAGCTAAACATCACTATGAAATGGAAATTACTAACCAGTCTTTTCCAAGAGATTTTACCAGTGATTCTGCTATAGTTTTAGAAAATGCCTGTAAAGAATGGCTGGCTGGCTGGCTGGCTGGCTGGCTGGCTGGCTGGCTGGCTGGCTGGCTGGCTGGCTGGCTGGCTGGCTGGCTGGCTGGCTGGCTGGGCACGGGTCACTGAAAATTCAAAAATACATTGACTATTTTAATTCTGTATGTATGAGTCTTTCTTAAAAGGACTACTGAGAAAGACACATTGGGTCTTGCATGGTTAATAAATGGAATGTTCCATAGGTTGTGAATATTTCGTTCATCAATGAACAGATATTTAATTTGGCCAGATTTTATTCCTTCTGAAGAATATATTTGATTTTGATTAATGTCCTTGTTTTTTTGTGGTGGTTTACCTTGGATGACAAAATTTGCCTGGACCCATGGATCAAACTCGAGGCATTTGTACGTTTCTAGTAGAATGTGGCTTTGGTTGTGATTGTGACCGATCTGATGCTTACTCAGAACATTTTGTAGAGTCCTATATCCGTGGCTTCAGCATCAGAATGCTTAGAAGTTACTGAAAATACGATCTCACTTTATTTACCATCAACAACAGAGCAAGAATGACCCCAAATCTACTTACAATGAAGACAATTTGACTGAGTGTATTTTTGACCTCCTCATCGCAGGAACAGATACAGTATCCTTGACATTGCGATGGGCATTGCTCCTCATGGCAAATCACCCAGACATTCAAGGTAAGAAGGACTTCTATATTGACTTAAAGAAAGGCTACCCTTATATCCTCTGGTTGTCATTCTTTTAAGTTTTCATAAGGTAAAGGTAAAGGTTCCCTTGCTCGAAAGCAAGTCGAGTCCGACTCTAGGGTTGTGGTGCTTATCTCCGTTTCAAAGCCGAAGAGCCAGCGCTGTCCGAAGACCTTTCCATGGTCATGTGGCTGGCATGACTAAACACCAAGGTGCACGGAACGCTGTTACCTTCCCACCGAAGTGGTACCTATTTATCTACTTGCAATTTCTTGCTTTTGATAGTGAGTAGCTAATTAACAGCCCAATCCTATTCATCCTGAACTGGGAGTAAGTTCCAATGAACGGTGTGAGAGGGTACTAGAAAAAAATCCCAAGAATGCTAATCAAATGTTATTGGAGAATGGGTAAAATGAATTAGATTATTGTTGCAGTTTTACAAACACTTTAATGAATCATAACCACAATAAAGACATTTCATATCCATCTGAGAAAGCTAGTCTGACATCATAGTTGGAGTGCTGAACTAGTTCTGAAATTAGACCCAGATTCAAATCCTCATTCGTCAGATGATCTTAAATTTCACTGGGTGATCTCAGGCCAGTCACTCTCTGTCACCGAAGATTAAATGGATGAAAGGTAAATAACATGTGCTGCTTGGAGCTATCTGAAAGAAAGGCAGGATAAACTCATATTAAACGAACTAACAAATAAAATATACCATAGGAGTTAATATCATTTTCATTTCATGTATTTAAGGAAGTCTACATAGTACATAGGCTTTCAAAGAAAATAATATAACAATAATTGAAATACATGAAACAAAAGAACATTCAACACTCTAGGAAGATATATAGGGGGGGAGGCGTGGCTGTTTGACCCGGACTAAAATAAAGTGCAGTAGCCCGAACACACGGTCCCCTGAGTCTTTGCACTTAGGCTGTTAGCTGGCGATCACACAGCGATGCTGGAGCATGGCAAAGAAGCGGCGCAGCAAGCATTTTGTGTTTGTGCGCATGCGCAGTTCCGTGGAGCAGCATTGATTTCAGTTACGTGTTTGTGCACATGTGCTTACGAAAAACATCCGTTTTGCGATGGGATGTGGATGGGTTCCGGATGCCATGGGATACTAGCGCTCCCGCGATCAGACGCCCGCCCCTGCCCCGCATTTTCCGGATACTAGTGCACTTTCCGAGGTACTTTTTTTACTGCGCATCTTCGGCGGGACACCACGGGTTGCCCACGGTGGCGCTATGCTTCCCAGATGTTGCGGTGTGATCGCGCCCTGAAAATCCATCTGACATTCATGCCTTTAGCACGGCAAATCCTCCGTGTGACCGGGGCCAGAATACATAACTTAAAATACTGAATCAAAATTAAAATACTCATAGGTTCACTGCATATATAACCAGGTGCTGAATTAATGGCAACAGCTTGAACTGTTAATGCAGCTGCGATATATTTGACAACTGCCAGAGAGATATGGTTTTCATTTCCAGACAGAAGATTAAGTATGTAGTAATTGTCCAAGTGGTGGGGGAAAGTTACAAGAAGTGATCAGAGAAGCTCTTAAACTGCCATCGAATTAACATGTGAAGAACAAGGGTATCAGGTTTTCATGTTAAAAAGTTACCTGGAACAGAGGTCCATCGGTGGCTATTAGCCACAAGGTATAGATAGGGACTCCGGGGTAAGTGATGCTCTGTATTTTTGGTGCTTGTGGGGGGTCAATAGTATGAGAGCTCACAGTGTCCTGGCTGCCCCACTGCTGGACCTCCTGGTATTTTTGGCCACTGTGTGACAGAGTGTTGGACTGGATGGGCCATTGGCCTGATCCAACATTGGTTTCTCTTATGTTCTCTTATGTTCTAATGTTAGTTAAGTACCTGTCTTACATCTGTACTTTCACTTTTCCCTGGGAAAATTATTTACACAAGCTGTGAACTGTCTATACCAGGGGTGTCAAACATGTGGCCCGGGGGCCGGATGAGGCCCCCGGAAGGCTTCTATCAGACCCGCTGCTGTGTCATCGTAGGTTTGCAGCTTACAGACACACACCTGAACAGCACACTCAAGATTGCTACAGCACAGTCATTTCGATGCAATAATTCAGAGCAAGAGGTGTCAGTTATCAGACACTGCTGAATAAACAAAATATTGCACGAGTGCCAATGTTTTAAGCATGTTTTTATTTTAAGTATTAAAAAAACTCTCTGTGTCCTTTATAAAGTTTATATCGCCGCTACCTGGCATTACATTTTATGACACACATGGCCCAGCCCAACAAGGGCCAATTCCGCACTGTCATTTTTGTCACTCGTTTTTCTCTATTGCTTTGGGTTCCCCTCCTTTTCCACATGTGTTTTGCTCCCTCTGAGACTACTAGAGAGAGCAAAACACTTTTGTGGGGGGAAACCCTGAAGCAATAGGGACAAATGAGTGACGAAAATGACAGTGCAGAATTAAAGATCCAGCCCTCATCACAAATGAGCTCGACACCCCTGGTCTATACGGACACTTAAATAACCCTTTTACTCTGGAACTCATGTTCTATTTATGTAAAGGATGCTTGTGTAGTGGTTTGGTGTGCAGTTTGGTTTAGTGGTTAAGTGTGCGGACTCTAATCTGGAAGAACCAGGTTTGATTCCCCACTCCTCCACTTGCACCTGCTGATGTGACCTTGGGTCAGGCACAGCTGTCCTTGAAAAAGAGCAGTTTGTGTCAGAGTTCTCTCAGCCCCACCCACCTCACAGGGTGTCTGTTGTGGGGAGGGGAAGGGAAAGGAGATTGTAAACCGCTCTGAGACTCCAAGTGAAGGGCGGGGTATAAATCCAATCTCTTCTTCTTCTCTTCTTCTTGTTAACAGGGACCAATTTGGGTAAAAGAACTCCAATCCCTTTAATATATATATTTTGTTTCTTTCCATAGCTAATATGTGCTGCTTCGGACCCAAGCCTACAGCTCCATGTATATTCCAATTCTTTGAATAGGTGATATCAAATAGTTTCACTGGTTCATGAATGGGGTACCTGAAAATACAGGGCTCCTAATCATTTTTTGTACTGTTTTCCTCAGAGAAAGTCCACAAGGAGGTGGAAGATGTTTTAGGTTCCTCTCAATTATTGCGCTTCCAAGATCGGAAGAAATTGCCATACACGAATGCCGTGATTCATGAGATCCAGCGTTTCCAGTATACCTTATTTTTTGGGGGGCCCAGACAATGTGCAAAAGATGTGAACATGTGTGGCTTTCTTATTCCAAAGGTACAGGATATTCTTATGGTTGCATTTCTATGATTGATATCTATAAAAGGCAGCATTGCAAGATGTACATGAGGAGGAGGAGGAGGAGGAGGGTAGTTTTTATGCCCTGCTTTCCTCTACCTTAAGGAGTCTCAAAGCAGCTTACAATTTCATGTATAAGAGCTTTCTGTGTAGTAGTTTTTGAAGGGTATAAACCTGACCTCTTTCCCAGAGATATCAAATTATTAGTATTGTGTCAGACCTAGGGTTACCAAGTACCTACCGCGAATCGGCGGGGGACACATAGTTCTTGGCAGGAACATTCCCGTGGGGAAAACACACACGCTGCACTATACTGTCGCCCAGTCATTTCTTTATTTATTTATTTTTCACATTTGTATCCCGCCCTCCCCAGTGGGCTCAGGGCGGCTAACAGAGGCAAGGTCATTAGCCATGCCATAGGTAAAAACATATAAAAACATAGTAAAACATCCAAACACTAAAACCACAGTACTCAATCCATTACTAGTATCCTAAGTCCAAGATGGTATCACCACAGTTCCAGATGGTACTCCCATGGTGTACGTGTCCAATGGCGACGGCTTATCAGATCTTCTACAATTTCCAGGTTCTTCCTCGGGCCTCATTGATGCATCCTTTAAGATACCTTGACGGTGGTGGTATAATGGGGCGGTGGCTCCTACTCAAAGGCCTGGCAGAAAAGCTCCCTCTTGCAGGCTCTGCGGAACCGCACAAGGTCCCGCAGGGCCCGGATCTCCCCCAGGAGCTCGTTCCACCAGGTAGGAGCCGCCACCGAAAAAGCCCTGGCCCTGGTCGCAGCTAGTTTGGCGTCCTTGGGGCCTGGGATGACCAACAAATGTTGGACCCCCGACCGTAGTGCTCTTAGGGGAACATGTGGGGGAAGGTAGGCTGGACCCAGGCCATATAGGGCTTTATAGGTAAGAACCAGCACTTTGAAGCGGATCCGGTACGCTATCGGCAGCCAGTGCAGTGCTTTCAGCACAGGCTGAATATGGTCCCTCCTAGAGAGACCCATCAACAGCCTGGCTGCAGCATTCTGCACCATGACGTAGGCACGTAGCCGGGCGACGCTCTAGCAATGGGGCTGAAAACTCGATGGTACTATCGAGTTTTCAGCCCCATTGCCAGAGCATCACCCAGCTATGTGCCCAGCGTGCTGACGTCACATCTGGGAAACAGCATAGTGCGACGCGGGTGTGTTACAGGCAGAAATGTTCCAGCGGGAAAGCCTGTGTCCCCCGCTGATTCGTGGTAGGTACTTGGTAGCCCTAGTCAGACCCCAATTTATCCTGCCCCATCTGTGCTGAGCTATTTCTTTCAGTGCCTCTCAGGTTTATTCAATAATTTATCCAACATCTGGATGACTGTCAGTACCCAACGTTTTTACATATTTAGCACGTGTTTCTTAAAAACCTTTCCCAGCATAAATGCTGTAACACTAAAGCAGTGATAGCACTTTGCAAAGCTCTTTTCCCAGTTTGGTGTAGTGGTTAAGTGTGCGGACTCTAATCTGGGAGAACCGGGTTTGATTCCCCACTCCTCCACTTGCATCTGCTGATGTGACCTTGGGTCAGTCACAAGCTCTGGCACAGCTGTCCTTGAAAAAGAGCAGTTTGTGTCAGAATTCTCTCGGCCCCACCTACCTCACAGGGTGTCTGTTGTGGGGAGGGGAAGGGAAAGGAGTTTGTAAGCTGCTCTGAGACTCCAAGTGCAGGGTGGGGTATAAATCCATCCTCCTCCTCCTCCTCCTTCGTCTTCTTCTTCTTCTTCTTCTTCTTCTTCTTCTTCTTCTTCTTCTTCTTCTTCTTCTTCTTCTTCTTCTTCTTCTTCTTCTTCTTCTTCTTCTTCTTAGCGTTCTCAGAAGAAGGAAAGCCAGAAGTAAAAAAGGGTACATTGTGTTTTCATTTTGTGAACATATTTTAACTGGGTGAGCTGATCCAGCCATTACTGAAAGAAGATATGATTTCTGAGTTTCAGGAGACTGAAGCATGTATCTATGGGAAACAGCCATGGCTAGTCTGAGAGTTCAAGCCCCCAATCCCAACTGCCACTCAGTAGGCCAATAGGATTGAATATAAGGAATAAATCACTGTAGCATCAACACTATAACATCATTTCTGGGGTGAACCCAGAAGTGACATCACATCACACAAGGATTCAAGAGAATCTCTATGGTAAAACCATAGAGTTTCCACTGGAACCTGGAGTGGCATGATGACCAGTTCAAAGTTCAACCCCAAAACAACACCATGTCATCACTGTGATGGTGCCAAAAATGTCTCTTGCTTCCCTCCATCTCCTCTGAGGTGATTGGCAACCCTAGGAAACAGCAAATACTAGTATTGGCTCAATGGATGGAAAAGATCAATGTCCTTGTCTGTATGCATCCTGAAGCAACACTTTCATTCTTCCAGGGGGCTATCATTTTTGCAGATCTACATTCTGTTCTTCTTGATCCTAAAGAATGGGAGACACCGGAGGAATTCAACCCAAAACATTTTTTGGACAAGGACAGAAATTTTGTGGAAAGAGAAGCATTTCTTCCATTTGGTGCAGGTAAACGCAAAATGTGAGCTGTTTATAGGGTTCTCTGAAGAATTAAATTTAGGAAGATTATCTTTTCATGCAGAATGTTTCTTAGGAATCACTAAATTACTAAAACCTTAACACAAATATTAGTATGATTTTGGTTAGAAAACAGCTGAAAGGTATATTCTATTAAATATAGAGGAGGAGGAGGAGCACAACAGACACCCTGTGAGGTAGGTGGGGCTGAGAAAGCTCTTGACAGAAACGGCTCTTTTTCAAGAACAGCTCTTATCAGAACTACGGCTTGCCCAAGGTCATCCAGCCAGGTGCAACTGGAGGAGTGGGGAATCAAACCCGGTTCTCCCAGATTAGAGTCCGTGCACTGAATCACTACACCAAACCACTACACCAAACTACATCACATATAGCTTGGATATAAGAAGGAACTTCTTCTTCGTCTTTTTCTAACATTCTTATACTGAGCAAGAACATGGGGACGTTGGACCTAGTGCCCACTCTGACTGCTGGATGATCTGCATGGTGGTGCAAGATCTAAAGCAGAAACCCAGCCCTGTTACCTGAGATCCTCAAGTAATAGAAGCTGGAATAGAATGTGGGTCTTTCTGCATGTAGAGCATGTGCTTTTCCATGGAGCAATGACTCCTCCCATTTAGCCACCTCCCATGGCAGTAGAGCTCTGCAAATGTTACAGCTCTGGAAGAAATAGGGAACTGAATTCTTTTGAGAGCACCTGAGAAGGCTGTTCTATTGAGAAGTGGCTCCACCCCAAGCTTCCCTCCCTTGCCTATTGGCTAGATGCTGTCCCGCCTTCCCCGGAAATGATAGCTGTGAGGCTTGAAACTTCAACCCCGTTTTTTCTCCTTGGAAGAACTGCACAGGAGTATAGAGGGCTGAGAATGAATAAAAGCCACCTGGAAAGGTTTCTGAAAGAATAGGGGCTCTGAAGTTGTTAAAATGGAGCTGCCTGGCCAATGGGAACCCCAGGCAGTTTCCCACATTATGGTTCCCATTGAGTCACTTCTATGCCTGTTGGAAGGTGGGACTGGGGAGACTGGGGAGTGGTCTCATTCAGTGGGGATGGGACAGCCCACTACGTAGTGTTTCAGTCCTACTGAGTAAGTCCTGCCCAGGGGTCATTTCCTGCAGGGGCGCACAGGAGCGGAGCTCCAGCAGTAAGGAGCCCAGGGGGCAGGCACATGCAACAAGCCCCACCCCCTGCTCCCAGCAGCCCTCAGTCAGAGCAAGAAGCAGTCAGGTAAGTTGCAGAGCTCCCTCCAGCTCTCCAGTCCAAAACAGTCCAGTGGCAACTTTAAGACCAAGTTTTATTCAGGTACAAGCTCTCCCTCCTCTGTGAGGACAGATCTGCATGTCCCCCCCCCCCAATAGCTAGCAATCCAAAACAGTCCAGTGGAGCCTGAGCGGTGGGTGTTGTGTTCTGACACACTTCTGGTGATGTCAGGGGGTGTGGAATATGCAAATGAGTTATGCGAATGAGTTATGCTAATGAGCTCCTGCACTTCTTTTTCTACGAAATGACCCACGGTCCTGCCCCTTTTCTTACAATATATGCCTTCGGCCTGGCTTTGTGTTCCATGGTGAAGCACCTACTGGGCATAGCCGACATCATTGGTTTCTCCCAAGGCTTGAGGAAAAGCCAACCTCTGCCAGAGGCCAATTTGCACCATAGTTTTGGATTATGGAGAATGAGGATGAAATGTTCAGTGCTGAATTACTTGAACTTTAGGTAAAGCATGTGTCACACTTGGGCTGCCGGGAGGGGCCGAGTCGGTCGTGAGCCGAATTCAGGGTGTTTCGCTGAACAACTATGGACTCAGGTTCGCCTCAGATATGTTGTTGGTCAAGTTACGTTTTGATACTTGCCACAACGGGGGTGGTTTACTAGATGAGTACTAGTGGATATGTCTCCCTCCTCTCAGTCTATTCGCGAACCACCGCCCCTTCCTCCCTGGCTTCACCTGTTTTTATCCTTTATTCATTCAGCGTCCACACCTGTTCCGCCCACCACCCACTTCTCAAAGTAACCGAGCCACCAGCCTGGGTTCCAGGGGATTCTGGTCTCATTCCTACACCCACCAACCCTGTCTCCAGCGGTCGGGTCCTTGTCATTCCGCCCAATCCGTCCCGCGCCCTCGACCCCCTCCTTACGTAGGATTTTCGCCCCTCTGTGGGTGTTGGGCCAGGATCCCGGACCCCCCGGGAAGGGTCTAGGACCGTATTCCTTCCGCTGGCGAGTGCTAACTGGGTAGTTTCCTGCATAGTCGGGAGGGGGTTGACATCGCCCTCCTGACAGCATGAAATCTTAAATAGTCTATGGCCCCTGCCACACGCAGGGGAAAAGGCGCTTGAAGGCGCAGCTTTTAAAAGCCGCGCCAATGTTGACACGGCGCGGTGGGATCCCACGGATCCCCCTGCCGCGCCGCCTTTTCTCCCCGGCGCGATCAAACGCCGGGGAGAAAACACGCCCTACCCGGGGGCCGGCCGAACTGCGCATGTCCGGGCATGCGCAGTTTGGATCCGGGCCGGGGTTGAGCCGGCGCAGGGAAGCGGCGGCGATCAAACGCCCCGGTTGCCGCGCCGCTTTCCTTTAAACCACCTAGATAGGTGGTTCAGTTTGCGCCGGCTCATCCCGGGAAAGGGACAGTTTGGGTACGGAAGCCGGACGCTTCCCAGATGTTGTGGTGTGATCGCGCCGGTTTGATCTGGCCCCAAACTGTCCTGCTCCCGGACCAAATCGGTGAGTGTGAACGGGACCTATGATTTTTTTTCTGGTTAAACCAATGAAAGGTAAATACAACTGACCACCGTTTTCAGCATGGGGATAGTCAAAATTTACATTCTCTTTTCCATTAGGCCATACAACTTGAATGTGCTCATGCGGGTCTTCTGTTGAGGCTTAGCAGTCTAGTAAACCTTTGGTCAGGCCTTCCCAGCCGTTTTTTTTAAACAGAAGCTGGAATTGTGGGTGGCACTAATTCTGTCTGGGGCACTGGCCTGTAGCTATGGAGGGGCTATTAGGGGCCCAGCCCTGGCCCTTGAAGGCCCAGTCACCTTCCTTAAAGGACCCCCCCCCCCGCTTCTTCACTCCTCCCGGAAGTGCTGAGCCACAGGGGGCGCACGGTAAGGAGCTGCTGCTGCGCTGCCTGCTTCTGTTGGCACCAGATGCTAGTTCACATAGGGGGGCCAGGGGCAGGCACTCACTCGCCTTTTCTCTACCTGTGCCTGGCTGGGGGCGCATGTGCCACCCTCTCGTCAGGCCTGTAGCTACAGTGGGGCCTCTCGGGGCCTGGCCCCCTGACTTCCTGCCAAGCCCCCCAACTTCCCATCTAGCCCAGGCCCCCGACTTCCTGGCTCTCTTATTGGCCACTGCCATCCCCTCCTCCTCTGGCCACTCCAGCTGCCTGGGTCCCCCCACATGAACGTGCGCCAGCTACCTGGTTGGTGGGAGAGGGAGCACACCTAGCCCAGCCCAGCTGGCCATCTTGGTCCTGCAGCTCCTCCTCCTCGGGCACTCAGGCAGGGGCCAGCCGCTCAGCCAGCAGCCAGCTGGGAAACCCCAGCAAGAACTGAGGGATAGAGCGGCTCCAGGATCACAAGAGAGAGGGGGAGAGCAGAGCAGTGGCATTCCACCCTGGCTTGCTCCCTCCCTCCCTCCCTCTCCCACTCCACCTCCGCTGGCCAGGTGGCTGTGTTGTGGTGTTGCCCTGCAAGGAGCTTGTAATGCTCTTATGGACTTATGGTGAGAGGGAGTCCAGGTCAACTCCTGTGGATTCCCATGGTTGGGGGGGGGGGGGGGGACCTCCGTTGATTCCTATGGGGAAAGGGAAGTCCAAATCTCCTCCCATGGATTCCTATGGGCAAAAGGGAGTCCAGGTCTACTCCCGTGGATTCCTACGTGGAAAGGGGAGTCTGGGTTTACTCTGGTGGCTTCCAATGTGGAAAGGGAGTCCAGGTCTACTCCCATTGTTTCCAATGGGGGAAAGGGGAGTCCAGGTCTACTCCCATGGTTTCCTGTGGCAAGAGGGAGGCCAGGTCTACTGCCCTTGGGTCCTATGGGGAAAGGGGAGTCCGGGTCTACTCCCATGGCTTCCAATGGGGAAAGGGAGGCCAGGTCTACTCCATTTGATCCCTAAGGGGGAGCGGGAGTCCAGGTCTACTCCCATGGAGTCCTGAGGGGGAGAGGGAGTCCAGGCGTCATTTCCTGCAGGAGCACCCAGGAGCGGAACTCCAAGAGTAAAGAGCCCAGGGGGCGGGCACATGCTACAAGCCCCACCCCCCGCTTGAACTGTATGGTGACCACAAGCTGATGCCAACTGCCTGGACTGTGAACACATGCTCAGATGAGGGAAGCCTCTTCCTGAGACAATGTGTCAGACCAAGGATGGATCCATGGGTTAACTGCCAACTCACCTGCAATGCAGCAGAGATGAGCCAAGCACCCTGGCCACAGACAGCACACAGATGCCAGTAAAAATATGTTGTAGAAGAAACGCCATGCCATGACCTGAGTACCTGGACAGGGACTCCATAAGCAAACCTCTCTTCCAGCATGCAGGCAGCCCCCCCCACCTTTGCCAGAGATTGCACGTGTGCTGCAACAGCATAACAAAAGGACACAAATGGATTAACCAGATGACTTCTCTTACCTGCCAAGCCCCTCAGTGGGCCATCAAGACTAATGACCCTAGCCACTGCTACTACTGTCCTCTAAAGGTGACACTGTCAGTAGCCAAAGAAACCAGATTGCCCAACCATTAAGCCCCCATCCTCCTAAAACAAGTTTTTGCTTAGGTAACTTCCTGGGGACGTGAAGGGGGAAGTGGCCGGTAAGAACCCACCCCCAAGTTCAAATCGTGTATAGAAGAAGAGAGAGAGAGAGAAGAGATTGGATTTATAGCCCGCCCTTCACTTGGAGTCTCAGAGCAGTTTACTCCTCTCCTTCCCCCTCCCCACAACAGACACCCTGTGAGGTGGGTGGGGCTGAGAGAACTCTGACACAAACTGCTCTTTTTCAAGGACAGCTGTGCCAGAGCTTGTGACTGACCCAGGGTCACATCAGCAGGTGCAAGTGGAGGAGTGGGGAATCAAACCCGGTTCTCCCAGATTAGAGTCCACACACTTAACCACTACACCAAAGTGGCTCAGTAGAGTTGATACTCCTCATAGATGTTTGTGTCTGAACTTCAGAGGCAGAGTATTTGAGTGTTGGCCAGATGGCCGTTTTCTTTATTCTGGGACATAGATGCTTCTGCAAAAAACTTCTTTTGGTAAAAGGACACTTTGCTCAAGTTCCCACATCTATTTAGTCTCTTCCTATTACATTCTTCCTCCAAGATGCTCAAGTCTCTATACCTCCAGTTTACACAGTATGGGTATGATCCCATTTTCCCTTATAGTAGCCCTTATTTTTCTGTGGATCACTTCATCTCTTCAGGACAGGCAAGTGTCACCCAATCAACGTTTTTACCTGCTAATGTGAATGTCGCTCTAATTTTCCTAGGTCTGAATAAGTGTATGTGTGCTTGTGTTTCATTGTATGTTTGAGACATTCTTCAGTAAAGAACCCATCTCTTTAAAGAATTGGTTTCTGCGTTGATTCTTGGTTTTACTGGAAAGGTGGGACTTCTGTATACAAAGTCTTGTCTCCCTTAGTAGCCAATTGCTCATTCAATATTATCATTCCCCACAGTTATTAATACATTAAGCAATTTGGCTAACAGGGGCACCCAGCACTGAGACCCGAGCAGGTGCAGCCCGGTTCAGGAAAGGGGGAAGTGGGGCAGAGACCCGCTCCCATCCCCCAGTGGCTAAAAGAGGCAAAACCCAGTTACCAAGTGCCCGGCAACTAATGGCAGCCTCATCAGCCCCACCAGAATTTTTTTTGCCCCACAAGCCACAAAATCCTGGCTATGGGGCTGCTGGGGTAACTTGGCAACTGGGTTTCATCCTTTCAATCCCCACAGAGTTTCACTTATCACAAATCACCCATGTGCGTACATTATTATTAGAAGAGGTAGCAGTGGCAGAGAAAGTAGGCGTTTGAAGAACTGCAGCACTATGAAGTGTCAATGTTAACAGGAGAAGCCATGAAGAGGCATAGAATTAAACTCCTCTCCCCTCTGGCTGACTGGTCTCTGTTTGGCCAGGATGCTACAGTTCCTCTTTTTTAAATTCTAAAATGATTTGGTCACAGGTCTGAAAATATCTCATCAGGACTGATGAGGGGCCAAGCTGGTGCCCTAGGACTGTCCACCCTGATTTCTGCCCATTCTGCAGTCTCAAGCAGAGGTTTTCTCCAGCCACTTACATGCACTCTTTTAAACAGAGATGCTGGGCCTGTAAAGCAGTGGACTTCCGGTCTGTGGCTCGGCGATGGCGGACACTCTCCCCGACTGCTGGGGAGGTATTCCGCACTCCAGTGGGGTTGGAGGGGTGCCACCTCAAGTGGCACTCCCAGGTGAGCCTTAGTAAAAGGCTCCGAGCCGGGGGCG